GTCAATTAAACAGTTATCACAAGAGAAACACTAACAAAATACAAAATAGAAATTTATATAATCTGAATAATAACAATAACAAGATGCCGCCGTGTTCGCAAATTCACGCAAGAGACGAGCTGGTGTGAATCAGGCCCCTGAAACACCCACAGAACTCGCTGACAAGTGCAAGTGTTGGAGCCTGTAATATGGAACGCGCCGTGGGTTCTGAAGCCGCTAAGAGGAACCTAATGTCCCTCACACCGGTAACAAATTGTTCATGCCCTTCTGGATATTAGGCACGATTTAGTAGGAAATTAATGTTATTACATATTGAAATTTTGCGGAAAACGAGCTGCACAGAATTCGTTAAGTTTATAACCGGGGATAATTCGATCTTGATTCTCCACAGGCGCTGAGTTTCAGTCGACCACTAAGAGAGGTTCTTAAGTGATGGAACATAGAGACGTGACCGTAGAATAACAGGAAGGCCGCGCCATACCCCAGGCAGTTAGTCGCTGGCTTCTCAGCTTCCAAGCTCGGGTTCGAGTCCAGGACAGATCATGTGGGATTTGTGGTGGATAAAGTGGCACTGGGGCAGGTTCCACTGCCAATCTTCGTTCCACCGACTGCTCCACAATCACCATCATCCGGGGCTGGTACAACAGGCCAGTAGTGGCCGCAGTACCAAGTGGACTCAGTCTCACCCCACTAAGAATAATAATATATAACGAAATAACAGGAGGCCATTCGCGTGCGTCTAGCAGACACCAGCGATTTTCCAATCAGGAAATAAAAACGGCACTCAATGTATTCTCTGTCAGAAATATCTCTGCGCATGCGTCATCACCACGCAGTGATGCAGATTATTATGTCTCCGTTAGAAATGTACTAGAATTTATTTTAAATACAAGACTGGGGGCAATATCGCCATGCCGATGATCTCGGCGAACACAGAACTTTTCTTCCGTAATGTTGCATACTCAACGTATTTTCGCGTGATTGGGTGACTATAGAAAAGCTTTGGTTTGGTAACTGGATTTATTGAACACTTACAGATCGTAAATACATGTAACTTCATCGCTATCGCTAATTCACACACTCAACGATTCACTACAGCACGTGCTAAGCCTTCTCAGTCTGCTGCATCTTCAATGGTCGCTGCCTGGTAATGGCTTGAAATGCCGTAGCTTCCTCAGCTTCCGTGTTCACGTCTTTACTGGATGGCGACTCTCTCATAACTACCTCCTACTCTTCTCCCTACTATCTCAAGACTCTCTCGTAATCGCAGCTGCTCCTCGTTATATAGTTTCATCACGGACCGCAAAGAAAATATGTCCAAAATTCTTCTATTGTTACGTCACGTAGCTATGGCACGGGCCTCGTAGAGAAAACCGCTTCCTAGTTACTACATTGTTGCCAGTTACGAATCTATTGCGGTCATTACTTAGCAATGACCGTTGTTTACAGAGCCAATATCTAACAACGGCTGTTGTACAGCTGCTCATTTCGCGGTCGACGCCTAGCAACGGGTCTACATGCCACAGTATGTTGTTCCCTCATAAGAGTTTCAGACAGAAGTGAAATGTGGCACATGTACCTACTTGTGTTTCTCTAAAGTAAGAATACACACAGCGGGAAGGACAGGCAGGAAGGGGGTTCCCTTCACTGCAACTTGCAGATCAGTTCTGGGGTTCCCCTACTCTCTGATCTAAGTGGAGGGTTTTCCGCGTGGTTAAGAGGCATGGAGGAGTCCATCTAAAGCTGAAATAGGGAAATAGTGAATCTATAACTCCATTCCTCCATACGACTTCATGGCGTGGTGCTCAATGTAGCACAGACAAGTCTAATCTGAAGAATCCTACTTATGGGATATAACCCCTAGTAGTCTGGTGAAAGTCAACCGACGTTTCGGAGGAACATGTCGCCTCAGTATTCAGGATCGAAGTGTAAATCAAGCAGTAAACCAGCGTGAAGCAGATAACAGGCAGAGCAGATGGAGACAGTACGTTCCTCCGAAACGTCTGTGAATTTCTACCGGACTACACGGCATCACATCCAGTGCTCTTAATTTGTTGTCGCTAAGAATCCAATGTACAGTAATAAACGCTTCAAGCATGAGAGGAAAAAGTGAAGACGTGTTTGCGCGGTGTGTGATGCCATCTGTTGACGGGAACAGGAGTTAATTAAGAGCCTCGCTGTCTCATTAATCCTTCAGAGTTCAATCAAATCTCTAACTAGGTGACGGCGCCTCGGCTTAATAAAGCTTTCACTTTGCTGAACTGTGTAATGAAGCAGACCGTAACTGGCTGCTTACAGCTCATTAGGAGTGCCAGCCTCCCGGGGCTGAAGGCACGGACCTGAAAGTATAACAGATGATTGGAAGGAAGACATATTCATTTGAGGTTCATTTAACAACGCGGCCAGTATCTCAGCATATACGGCACTGAATGCTTGGTGATGCTGTATAATGAATTAGAAAATCCCGCCGAAATCAGAGCAAAATGAAAACATAAATACGTAAGTTATAGTTGTTAGTGGATATCTGATTCCGGAGAAAGCCACTCCTGATTACCAAAAGGAGAATGGTCACCATCTGTGGTTCTATTTGTACTAGTATTGTAACTTTTAAGTGTGTTGTAACATTTTGCATTTTAAGACTAACATTTAAATGTAACGAAACACAAGAATCGCGATGAAATTCGTATTTATGATCAC